AGCTTTCCACACTGGATTGTGCAACATTTGCCCATTATTCTTTTCAAAATTCTTCAAGCTCTGTCAAATTGGTTGTTGATCATTGCTAGACAAACATTTTCAGGTGTCTTCTTGGTAAGCAACTGCAGTGTATATTTGGCCTTGTGCTTTAGGTTATTGTCCTGCTGAAAGGTTAATTAATCTCCCAGTATCTGGTAGAAAGCTGACTGAACCAGGTTTTCCTCTAGGATTTTGCCTGTGCTCCTTTTCTTTTTTGTCCTGAAAAACTCCCCAGTCCTTAAAGATTAGAAGCATAACATGATGCAGCCACCACTACGCTTGAAAATATGGAGAGTGGTACTCAGTAATGTGTTGTATTGGATTTGCCCCCAACATAACACTAAGTATTCAGGACAAAAAGTGAATTGCTTTGCCACATTCTTTGCAGTATTACTTTTGTGCTTTTTTGCAAACAGGATGCATGTTTGGGAATATTTGTATTCTGTACAGGCTTTCTTCTTTTTGCTCTGTCAATTACGTTAGGATTGTGGCGCAACTACAATGTTGTTGACCCATCCTCAGTTTTCTCCTATCACATTCATTAAACTCTGTAACTCTTTAAAGTCACCATTGGCCTCATGGTGAAATCCCTGAGCGGTTTCCTTCCTTTCTAGCAACTGAGTTGGGAAGGACGCCTGTATCTTTGTAGTGACTAGGTATATTGATACACCATCCAAAGTGTAATTAATAACTTCACAATTCTCAATGTCTGTTTTTAATCTTTTTAACCATCTACCAATAGGTGCCCTTCTTTGTGAGGCATTGGAAAACCTCCCTGGTCTTTGTGGTTGAATCTGTGTTTGAAATGCACTGCTCAACTGAGGGACCTTACAGATCATTGTATGTGTGTGGTACAGAAATGAGGTAGTCATTCAAAAATCATGTTAAACACTATTATTGCACACATAGTGAGTCCATGCAACTTATTATGTGACTTGTGAAGCACATTTTTACTCCTGAACTTATTTAGGCTTGCCATAACAAAGGGGTTGAATACTTATTGACTCAAGCCATTTCAGCTTTTCATTTGTAAAAAATTCTAAAAACATTATTCACTTTGACATTATAGCCAGTGACAAAAATCTCAATTTCATCCATTTTAAATTCAAGTTGTAACACAACAAAACGTGGAAAAAGTCAAGGGGTGTAAATACTTCTTGAAGGCACTGTATATTTATTTTGGAGCAGTAACGGTGAGTGGACATTCCCCCTTTCTCTTCTACATCTGCATTGCTTGCTGTTTGGGGTTTTAGGCTGGGTTTCTGTATAGCACTTTGTGACATCTGCTGATGTAAAAAGGGCTTTATAAATACATTTGATTGATTGATTGATATTTTTCCAGCTCCTGTGAAAAGTATGGATGGGCGTTGTTTTAAATGCCCACTGGGAGCAATTATGGTGCCTGTAACTGTATTTAGACATAGCCTTTTTCAAACAAGTTGTTTCGTTTTATTAGAATTTGATTAGAATTATTTGCTGTCTTTTTAGGTCTTATCTAGAGATGGGCGATATGAACAAAAATCCATATTGCGATAAATTGCCTAGATTGCTGCGATAACGATTAACAGAATGATATGTTTATAACATCAATGTGCAGCAGTTTTTATTTTTTATTACCCTTTCAACTACTACTACTAGTTTTATTGTAGTAGCCATCAATTGTCCCATTAACAATCACCCATATTAGCAAACTTATTTCATTCCATATTTCACATTTCTCTAGTATAGGCTACTTATCGTAATGAACGATATCAGTAAAATGCCTGCGATAAGTGGTCGGTATTGATCATTTTCTGTTTGTTTTCACAGCTCTAGTCTTATCAATAGTGAATTAAATATTGCTTATTGACAACATTAGGCATGTCCATGGTTCAGACTTAATGCATTTTACAGTACATTTACATTTTAGTCATTTAGCAGACGCTCTTATCCAGAGCGACTTACAGTTAGTGCATACATTATTTTATCGAACCCACAACCCTGGCGTTGCACAGTAGACACGTATCAGTGTGATTGCTATGTTAACAATATATTTCCATATTGAAGCTAGGCAATTACTGTTCAAAAACATGTTAAACATGTTTAGCAAATATGCGACAGGCCTACATTTTGTTATTTTGTTTCTGTAGGCTATTTAACAAACTAGGCTACAATTGACTAACATTCGAATTGGAGTTGATGACAATGCAATACATAAAATACCATAAATAGACAACTTGAAGCAACCATATAGAGTTGAAGTCGGAAGTTTACATACACTTAGGTTGGAGTCATTAAAACTCGTTTTAAAACCCTCCACAAATGTCTTGTTAACAAACTATAGTTTTGGCAAGTCAGTTAGGACATCTACTTTGTGCATGACACAAGTAATTTTTCCAACAATTGTTTACAGACAGATTATTTCACTTATAATTCACTGTATCACAATTCCAGTGGGTCAGAAATGTACACACACTAAGTTGACTGTGCCTTTAAACAGCTTGGAAAATGCCAGAATATGATGTCATGGCTTTAGAAGCTTCTGATAGGCTAATTGACATCATTTGAGTCAATTGGAGGTGTACCTGTGGATGTATTTCAAGGCCTATCTTCAAAAGCAGTGCCTCTTTGCTTGACATCATGGGAAAATCAAAAGAAATCAGCCAAGACCTCAGAAACAATATTGTAGACCTCCACAAGTCATCCTTGGGAGCAATTTCCAAACGCCTGAAGGTACCACGTTCATCTGTACAAACAATAGTACGCAAGTATAAACACCATGGGACCATGCAGCTGTCATACCGCTCAGGAAGGAGACACGTTCTGTCTCCTAGAGATTAACGTATTTTGGAGCGAAAAGTGCAAATCAATCCCAGAACAACAGCAAAGGACCTTGTGAAGATGCTGGAGGAAACAGGTACAAAAGTATCTATATCCACAGTAATACGAGTTCTATATCGACATAACCTGAAAGGCCGCTCAGCAAGGAAGAAGCCACTGCTCCAAAACCACCATAAAAAAGCCAGACTACAGTTTGCAACTGCACATGAGGACAAAGATCATACTTTTTGGAGAAATGTCCTCTGGTCTGATGAAACAAAAATAGAACTGTTTGGCCATAATGACCATCGTTATGTTTGGAGGAAAAAGGGAGATGCTTGCAGGCCGAAGAACACCATCCCAACCGTGAAACACGGGGGTGGCAGCATCATGCTGTAGGGGTGCTTTGCTGCAGGAGGGACTAGTGCACTTCACAAAATAGATGGCATCATGAGGAAGGAAAATTAAGTGTATATATTGCAGCAACATCTCAAGACATCAGTCAGGAAGTTAAAGCTTGGTCGCAAATGGGTCTTCCAAATGGACAATGACCCCAAGCATACTTCCAAAGTTGTGGCAAAATGGCTTAAGGACAACAAAGTCAAGGTATTGGAGTGGCCATCACAAAGCCCTGACCTCAATCCTATAGAAAATGTGTGGGCAGAACTGAAAAAGTGTGTGCGAGCAAGGAGGCCTACAAACCTGACTCAGTTACACCAGCTCTGTCAGGAGGAATGGGCCAAAATTCACCCAACTTATTGTGGGAAGCTTGTGGAAGGCTACCCGAAACTTTTGACCCAAGTTAAACAATTTAAAGGCAATGCTACCAAATACTAATTGAGTGTATGTAAACTTCTGACCCACTGGGAATGTGATGAAAGAAATAAAAGCTGAAATATATCACTCTCTACTATTATTCTGACATTTACATTTTAGTCAATTAGCAGACGCTCTTATCCAGAGCGACTTACAGTTAGTGAGTGCATACATATTTATTTATTTTCATACTGGCCCCCCGTGGGAAACGAACCCACAACCCTTGCGTTGCAAGCGCCATGCTCTACCAACAGAGCTACAGGGAACTACAAGAGTACATTTTACATTTACATTTTAGTCATTTAGCAGACGCTCTTATCCAGAGCGACTTACAGTTAGTGAGTGCATACATTTTCATACTGGACATTTCACATTCTTAAAATAAAGTGGTGATCCTAACTGACCTAAAACAGGGCATTTTTACTAGGATTATATGTCAGGAATTGTGAAAAACTGAGTTTAAAAGGTATTGGCTAAGGTGTATGTAAACTTCCGACTTCAACTGTATTTAGCCATGGAGCACGTTCTGATTGGCCAGTGAGGGGTCAAGCCTCGACACACCTTCAACTTGCTTGCACCTTTAACTTGTTTATTCAAGTTGAAGGCTGTGGTGGCGCAGTAGCCACCACCAGCTACTGCGCCCATAATTCTGGTTGTGAAAATAGCAAAAATATTTCTGACACACCCCTGAACCTATAGCGCTGGCCCCATTGTGCACATGTTGATTTTGTCTATCCCCACCAGACACGTTCATGACAGGCAGATTAAAATATAAAAACCAACTGAGAACCAACTATATTCATTTGGGGACAGATTGGACATTTAGCTAGCTTGCTGTTGATAGCTAATTTGTCCTGGGAGATAAACATTGGGTTGTTATTTTACCTGAGATGCATATGGTCCTTTTTTTTTTTTTTTTTTTTTTGCTGGATCTTTGTAAGCAGTTTGGATGAAATAATTAAATAACGCTTGGGCATGCAACGTGGCCGCTCTAGTCAGCATGTTAGATTTAACATTGCATTAGGTTTGTTAAAATAGAGCCCACCATGTCTGAACCATGGTAACTTAGGAGTCTGGCACTTGTATTGAAATATAATATAATTTAGCATTAAATATTCAGCAAGCATTCCAGCAGGACTATGATATTTTCTGCTGTCACCATGACAAATATCTGCATTTGAAAATTGGCACATTGTACCCCCCATAAAGGGCTAGAAACACACAATAAACACATAACAGATTAATTATTTTTAAGATATTTTGGGGCATAGGGAAATTTACTTTTAAAAAACTATACAGAGATCATATAGTACAAACTTACAGCGTCCACTCAACAGTCAGCAGCCTTAGTAGGCTCTCCCAAAGTGCTGGTTGACTTTGACTGTGCTGATGTAGATCACCAGATTAATAAGGAAGAACTGTCTCTGTTCCTCCAGCCGCACCACGTCCATCTGTACCTATACACAATCATATGAAATAATATAATACATCAATTATTATAATTATTATTTACTTTGGTAGAGAAACAAAAGTCATGCTTCTCACTGTCTGGTGCTGCCAATAACTGATCATTTAATAAAGCTAAAACACACCTTGCCCTCTGCATCCTGGTACTTGATCAGGAAGTGCTGGCCCTGGTAGTCATAGGAGAAAGGCTCCTCATTGGCCAGCACCATGGAGACGGGCGTGCTGACACACCAGAAGGGCATCTGGGTTTCATCCAGCAGGGTCAGGCTCATCATGCAGCAATTCTACACAGAGAGAGGAGAGGAGACAAAGAGAGAAAAACACAAATGCTGCCATTAGCGCAAATCAGTGATGATGGTTTATGCCATCTGTTATGTAATTGCTTTGTCAACATTATGTAGGCCTTATGACAGGTGGTTCCTGTAACCTAAACCAGTGAGTCAGTGTTCCTTTCCAGTACCTTCACAGTCCCCTCCAGAGCGTCAGACCTCCAGGGCAGGCTGACCCTGGCAGAGAGAGGGGTGTGCTGGGACTGCTTACTCCTGATGATGGCATTCAGCTGGATGAAGCCTTCATGGATCTGACCTGGACAACGACAAGGACCACATCAAGACATCAACAACAGCCTATGGTCAAGTAGCTGTGTAGAGAAACTACAAGGCAGAGGAAGGAAGACTCAGTAACTCGGGCAAGGGCACACACTACTGTAGGAAGTCTCAGTTCAGACTTGATATTAAACAATGTCACTAAGCTAAAAACAACCCAACTCTATCATTCTCCTCGGGAGCCCAGGCTTCTCACCTTCTGTTTGAACGCCTGGGGAAGTTCTCCTCAGAAAGAAGCTACAAAGGGGTGGAGTACGGTGTCTAGATGGAAAATGAATGCCAGCGCTTCAATTCAAACGCAAAATCCAACATTGAAGTTCTCCAGACTTCCAATAGTCGAGTCAATGAGACGAGATTTGGAAGGATGGCCACGCGAGACTATGATAACCCTAACCCTGAGCCCTGTGGATAGTGGTTTGTTTACCTTTCCGACAGAAGAGTTCAGGGAAGTGGCCAGACATGATCTCCGTCACGGTGTTGTGGAGGGTAATGTGTAGCGTGTAACCATGTAGACCGTAGTTCGGGTCCACGTCGTCGAAAGGAGGCATGTTCTCTGGAATGGTGTAGGGGCTGGGAGAAAAAGAGAGAGAGAGTGATAGAGAGATGAGAGACAGAGACACAGACAGGGAGAATGAATTAATGTAAAACAGAGGAATATAGGACCATTCCCACCTGTCACCAGGAGAGGGAGTTAGCACCCCATCTGCAAGTCTAAGGCTCAGTCACATCAACCCACAGAACCAACGTAGAGCCAGTGTGCAGTAGGCACACATCATCATAGACATTTTTTATTTTATTAGGATCCCCATTAGCTGTTGAAGAAGCAGCAGCTACTCTTCCTGGGGTCCACACAAACATATAACATGACTAAACACAGAGCACTAATAAACAAGAACAGCAACACAAATGTATAACAACATTTAAAACAACTAAAGGTTCATGGGAGTGTGTCTCTTCACAGTCTGCATTGTTCCTTGTTTTTATATGTTTTTATTTCAATTGATTTTATTTCTTGCCTTGAGTTACTTGAGGTGGAAAATAACTCCATGTAGTCATTGCTCTATACAGTACTGTGCGTTTCCCAGCCTCTGTTCTGACTTGGGGACTGTGAAGAGACCCCTGATTGCATGTATTGCCGAGTATGTATGGGTTTTTGAGCTGTGTGTTAACTGGCTGAACAGACAATTCGGTACATTCATCACGTCAATACTTCTAACAAAGATCAGCAGTGATGCAGTCAATGTCTCCTCCACTCTGTGCCAGGAGACTGGCATGCATGTTATTGACATTGGCCCTAAGTGTACATTTGAGGGCCAGAAGTAGCGACTGATCGTGTGCCATTAGTTTACCATTATCAACAGCTGAACTCAAATTGGTTTATTAAATATTGAAATTAACTATTTTCTTGACTTTCAAGAGTTTGAGAGTAGAGTGCCTAGAGTACACTTGGCAATGCAAACTGCCATAATGTAAACAACAACACAAGCATTATATTGAAACTAACAGACTAATGTACTTAACAAATAAGCAACAAAAATAATATATGAATAATGTATACATCTGGGTTAAATAGTGGAACAACAAATCGTGTTAGGGGACATCAGTCTTCAAAGACACTTTGAAACAGCCAGCGGGCCATCTGTGGGTAAAAGGTGAATACAGAGAGAGTTGTAGCTGGGCTGGACCAGGGTGAGGGGAGCCAGGGGCTGCATACCAAATAGACGAGCCCAGGAGACTCCTCTCCACCAGCCTGTGGTAGTGGAAGGTGGCCATCACAAAGGCTATAGACAACTGGCCCTGTGGTGAGAAACGGGGAATAGACGTCATCATTATTCAATCATTAAGATCATATTATTCCTCCTAATCATCATCCTCTTCCTGATCATCATCATAATTATCATCATCATCAGGGAATAGAGAAACACCATCATTACTCAATATCTTCCTTCCCCTCCTAATTATCCTCATCATCGGGGAATAGACCAATACCATCATTATCACCCTCATTATCAGTCTCCTCGTGCATCATCATCCTCATCATCAGTACATACTGTGAATGTAGGCCTACCCTCCAGATGCCGATGACAATGCCAGGCGACAGCAGCAGCAACATGACCAGTCTGTCTCCACCTTTCACCTGGCTGCTCTTAGAGATGGTGTCAATATCCAACTGAGCCATCAGAGACCACCAGCCTGGCCTGAAGGGTGGAGGGGACAGAGGAAGGAGGGGGAAGGGCAGAAGAAAGACAAGAGCTCTTTTCACTCAACAGGACCAAAACCTCCCAAATATGATTTGATATGGGATGGCTAGAAGGATGGGTGGTAGGAGATGGAGGGAACAATAAATAAATGGTGAGGAAGGAGAGAAAGCAAACTCACTTGATGGCGCTGGGACATTTGAGGGGAACTTTCTTGACACCGTGAAGCTGTAGGGTAGAGAGTTGGTGGAAGGCGGGCCATGAACCGTTGCTCCAGCACACCGTCACTGACGAGTCACTGTAGTAAGTGTGGCTCTGCTCAAAAGTCCCCTCACAGCCCGACTTGTCACACACTGTGATCTCCCAGGCCACACGTTGCTCTCTGAAACAGAGGACAAAAGAGAGGAGAACAATTTAATGAAGTGATACTGACATGGTTTTCATACCCTATTGAAAACTACTAAAATGTACGTAGCCAAATCAAAGTTTATTGGTCATGTGCACACGGTACAGTGAAATGCTTACTTGCAACAGTTTTCAGCTGTGCTAACATAATTGCAAAAGGGTTTTCTAATGATCAATTAGCCTTTTAAAATGATAAACTTGGATTAGCAAACACAACGTGCCATTAGAACACAGGACTGATGGTTGCTGATAATGAGCCTCTGTACGCCTATGTAGATATTCCATTAAAAATCAGCCGTTTCCAGCTACAATAGCCATTTACAACATTAACAATGTCTACACTGTATTTCTGATCAATTTCATGTTATTTTAATGGACAAAAAATTTGCTTTTCTTTCGAAAACAAGGACATTTCTAAGTGACCCAAACTTTTGAACGGTAGTGTACATAATAGAATATACAGAGTATGAGTCAGTGTCAAGTCACTAAATCTCGAGTCCGAGTCCCAAGTCCCTAGCATTCCAGTCCAAGTCCGAGTCCTTTATGCTCGAGTCCTGAGTTGAGTCATGAGTCCCTTGGTAGTGCTCAAAGCTACATTTTGTAACGTAGAAAGTTGGATAAATGACTGTATTGAATAGCTAATACAGTAGCTATCTGACATTTGCTGTTGTAGCTATCATGTTGAATAATGCAAGGGAGAGAGACTTTGACAACAAAGTCACTACTGGTCGAGTCCGAGTCATCACTGGTCGAGTCTGAGTCGAGTCACGAGTCATGAAAATCGTGACTTGAGTCCGACTCAAGTACGAGTCCTGGACTCAAGTACTACAACAATGATATTATTTCTAAAATGTGTCAAATTATGATGACGATGACCGTTTCTGTATACGTTCTTCTGACTATGTCAGTATTACTTTATGGAAAAACATGATGTCTTATCTAACTTTTTGTAAACTGTTTGTGACTGAGCCCATTCAATGTATGCCAAATAAATTCCCATTCTACCCTCATTGCTCAATAAAGCATTTGAAGGAGGAAACCAACCAATGTGTTGTTGACTATTGAAATCACAGCATTGACAATGACCCACTAAAACAGAAATGACTTGCAGATACCTGAAATGAAACCACATGTATTATGATACATTTCTGACCCAGTTCTTTCTACAAACACAGCTCAAGGATACCCCCACACGATGATGCATCCTGTGTCTGCTGGCAGCAGCCCAACCTTCATCCAACATAAATTAAATAGGAGAACAAAACTAAGAACCCAAACAGCCAGGATGCCCTGGGGAGCCCTGTGGGAATTCCATTGACTCTGTTGTTTTGTCCGTCCACCTGTTGTCTTGTGAAATTATCATTACCAGGGTAAATCGCATCCCCCCGCATGGCAAGAACAAACAGGTCACCAGAGGGAGTAGTCTGGGCAGGTGGGAATGTAGGGAGGGGTGGGGGTTCAAATCATTTATTTAAACAGAAACACAATTATTTCTCCATCCGCCAAGGCCGCTGCCATGGAACTCAGAAATTGAGTGCCAGTGTTGCATCTAATCAGAGGTTTTTAAAAAAAACTGACCTTAAACAGCAGAAGAAACGCTAAGTGAGCTTTCACCCGTGTGTGTGTGTATCGGTATTCCCCACAGCACAGATCGCATTTCAGACAGAGGCTTCCTCCCTGCGCTTTAATAAGAGAGGTCATAAACAGAGAGGAGAGAAAAACAAATGGAAGGCAGGTCGTTCTATTTCATTTCAGCAAGCTATGATACCCACCATCTCAGATTGTTCTGACATTTTTTCTGTAGTTTGATAAGATTAGCATTCCTACAATATTATATTGTTGAAATATAATTTGATCTCTGAGAAATTAAGTTACTTGATTGCACCCAAATTGGAACAGCACCGTCTAGTGGTCAGAATCTGGTAATATCAGGATGAAGGATGTGACATAATTCTAACAACTTCAATGACACATTTCTCTGAACAGAGAAAAAAATAAAAAAAATATATATATATCCCTGAGAATACATTACATAGGATAAAGGGACAATACTCGGAGCCGCAGCTCCATACTACTTGTCAAACATAGAGAACTGATACTATATACTCGTTGTTGGGGTGGGAAGGGTGTGGGGGGTCCCTGAGTGGCTTTGACCATTTATTTGGATTCCTTATGTTTTACTCATTGTTAGAAAAAAGGTTTGGTCCAAATCTGATGTTAGGTACTATATTTATTGATTATATGAATCCTATACATTTAAAATGGCCAATTTGGATGCAATCAATTAGCTTAATTCCTCAGATCAAATTATATTTAAAAATAATAATGTTGCAGGAACAATTTCAGAACAATCTGAGACGGTGGGAGTCGAAATCCTCTTTCTTGTGTTTTCTGAGGTGGAACGACCCAGGCATTTTATATTTTGGAGGCTCGTATCATCCCCATTAGGGGTGTGGCCATACTCATATTCGTAATCGTATCAGTAAATTGACAGTTCATAATCAGATCGGATATGCCTAAATAGATGTTGTCAAAATACCTATCTCCCTGCACGTTTATCGACCAAAAAAGCTGCAGATTAGGAGCAGCGCGCGGAGGGATGTCTGTGTGTCCTAAATTTGCAGCGGGCAGACAAGTTTGATGTCACTCAGTCAGCCTGCGCATTTCATATTTTTTCCCTACCCGCTTGTTAGATATTATGCACATTGATAGCTTGCTAGGCTAGCAAACGTCCTCGCCTTTTGATTTATCATAGTAGCAGGCTAACACGAGGCAGCAGCAATCTAAATGATAAGATCGAAACAAGCGGTGATCGGATTCAGTTGAAGTTATGAAGAGAAGTGAGTGAACTGAGAAATACACATTCGCTCTATCCAATCAGAGCAGCAGGATCAACGTACAGCCCGCCCTTCTCTTTACTGACAGGCAAACTAGCAAGTTGAGTTATTTAGTCCATGTAGCACATCGCACTTGATTGAAAGTAGTTAAAGCTGCAATATGTTACTTTTTGGGTGACCTGACCAAATTCACATTGAAATAATGTGATATAGACAGGGGTGCACATAACTTTTTCAGTGAGTTACTCATGTGAGTACCAGCAGATGGTGTCTGGTACTCACCCCATATGTAGCGTGGTCTTAATAAGTACAGTCTTCCTCACTGTCCTCCTCAGTGCTGCCACCACTGTCCTCTGCTTCAGCTTCCTGCATGGTAGATGATGAAGATGCTGCAGATGCACCTCCCTGTCCTTGGTTGAGCCTCCGATTAGCTGTCTCCATCCACAGGTCAACAGCAGGCTTTGGGTCAAATGTCTCTGTGGTCTGCTTTGACAGGTGAATGTGCATCAGTGCTGAGAGATGAGCATGTGACAGACGAGATCTGTACTTGGTTTTTATTATGTTGAGATGTGAGAATCCCCTCTCACAAGCTGCACTGCTTAAAGGCAGTGTAAGAGACAGCTTAACCACCTTGTTGATGTTGGAGTAAGCATCTGGGTTACTTGTATTTACTATTTGGACCAAGTCATACATAGAAGAGGCTCCCAGGCGTTTTCCTGCCTGCTTTAAGCGCATCCATTCTGTCACAGTGGTATCTTTGTCAAGTTGCAAGGTGGCCTCATATTTCTTGAGAATGCTGCAAACTGTTGTGTTTCCAAAACTGTGGAGGTCTTGCATTTCCATGTTGGAGGCCATGTTGAAGGATCAAATACTAAGAAATGATCACATGACTTGAGGGAGTCATATCTGATTTCAAACTCTTCAATTAACCCCCTGAGTAAGTGTGTCTTGTCTCTGTCAGCATCAGCATTGGAAACAGTGTGTGCCCTGTGGCTTTCACCATCAAGCAGAAGTGTGAACTGTCCAATGGCCACCATGAGTTAATCCTTACATTCTCCAATGGTCAGCTTTTCCTTCTGAAACCTAATGGATGTGGTCTTCAAAATGTTGCAAATGTCAAGCATGTTTGACAGAAAGCACTGAAAACGCTCTGAGCAGATATGCTGCAAGTCACTGTTATCACTCGTAACCAGTTGCATTTTAATGGCTGGCAATAGTCTTGATATTTTTAACAGTGTTTCATGCCTCCATGCAGACCATCTGATATTATGAAACTTACCCAGTTTCACAAAGGAGATCCCATTTTCTTCACATAGCTTATTCAGTGCAGCAGTTTTTTTTGCTCCACCTTTTTGTAAATAAAACTGCAGCAGCTTGACCACAGAGCGATTAAATGTCTCACAGTAAGGAACATTGCGATTAGCTGATTTCGCGCAATTCTCCAGTGTGTGTGCGGTGCACAGAATGTGCACAAGGGAGTCTCCAAACGCAGCAAGTTGCCGGAGTTTTGGCACAACGCCGTTGTAGATACCTACGTTGACAGCAGCCCTGTCTGTGCACACAGCGACCAACTTTGTTGTCCAGTCATCCAAGCCTATGTCCTGGAAAAGTCTCACAAGTCCGTCTGTTATGGCCTGCGCGGTTCGGTCAGCACCCAATTCAATCAGTCCAATAAAGTCCGAAGTAAACTCTCCGTTGCTGGACACAGACACAATGTAAACGATTTCCTGCTCAGTTTTTGTGATGTCCTCAGATCCATCAAAAAGCAGCCCCCAAAATTCAGCAGACTGCAACTTGGCTCGTAACTCCCAGCTGATGGTGTGAGCGATGCTCTGCATGATCCGTGTGCCCCCTTCACGTGAATGATATGCACCTCCGACATTTACTCCTAGCCGCTTCAGTAAAGGAACATCCTCAGAATAGGAAGACATGGGGCGTGCGTGTTTAGCTTTATGGAAGGCGAGGAGAAAAATATTAAACAGAGCTTGCCGCTGTTCTTCATTCAGCTTGTCTCGCCATCTGGCAAGTGGGCGACTGGACATTTCTTCTCGGCTAGCTTGTTTAGCAATGGCTTGCGCCACATTCGTGTGCTCCTTGCTCTTTTCATGTTTGTCAAATAAAGGATGGTTGAAATTTCTGAGCCTTTATAAAATGCACCTGTTTTGTCTGCTAGATGTGGATTTGAGCGGCAAATCTTGCACCACATTTCAGTGCGCTCATCGTTAGCTTCAAGCCACTGCACATCTTGGAGCCACTTTTCCGAAAAAAGTATTTTCTTCGGCTCTGGCTCCAGTTGGCGTTTCTTTGTAGATGGCGAAACGCCAAAAGAAGCTGCTTAATGTCTGTTGCTTTTTGGACATCCCTGACAGTCGTTGACAAGCAACATGTCATGTGTAAGGTTAGATGAGAAGATCGGTCAAGTACGCAAAGGCGCGTAGTAACACAAGTGGCATTACGCATTCCTGATTTTTGTCACGCTTGCGTACCTGCGTACCAGTTATGTGCACCCCTGGTTATAGATATGTCATTCTCAATGAAAGCAAGTCTAAGAAGTGGTAGATCTGTTCTGTGTATTTCTATGCTTCCCTTTCTTAAGTTTAGTTTTTTGTCTTTTACTTTTGATTTTGTACACCAGCTTCAAACAGCTGAAAATACAATATTTTTGGTTATGGAAAACATATTTCACAGTGGTTTAGACGGTACAATGATTCTCTACACTATACTTGCTTGTTTTGTCACATAAATTGAAATTAGGCAACTATTAGAATTTTAGCAACCAGGAAATGGCGGAGCGATTTCTGCATAGTGCATCTTTAATTGTTTAATTCCAGCATACACTTCCATCATTTTAATAAATGTCTTCATTTCCTGCACTAATATGTTATCATTTACACATTGTAACCATGTTTCCATCCACAGTTATGCGAGCAAAGTCATACCGTATAAAAAAAAATCCAGACAGACGTGATGGAAATGCCAACAGATAATTTGTTTGTTCGACATTGTGGGATCTTTTTGTGTCGGTAAAATTAATAATGTGAGAAATGGAGGTGGAAAGACCTTAATGTACAAAATTATTGATATAATAGCCATCATATAGAAGTAAACTTGGAGTCACGCGATGATATGGTGTGTGGTCTTCCCATTACAACTCAGGAAACTATGCAGTGTATTATTAGGCTACAGATTAAATAAGTGATGAACTTCACAGGGTGGTGAAATTGCAAGGTGATGAGCTTGATGCTCATTTCCAATAAATATCGAGGGTCTTATTCTGGTAAGATGATGATCGATGCTTGACTACCATTTGACAAATACAAATATTCTCACTCTTATCCATATTAATAATCTCATCATGTAGACTAGCCTCCTGCACAGCCTACTGCACTGTATCTGCGAGCTGTTGGCTAGAGTGCACGAAAGACTAGAGTAGGCACATTTGCTATTTAACGCAACCGTTTTTTGTGACAAACCTATCGGTAGAGTTGAAAATGCAATGGAAACACATTGAACTTTAGAATTTTATTCAGTAGATGAAAATGAAAGCGAAAAAGTACATTTTGTGTGTATTAGGTCATCACGCACTGATTTTTATCCGCAACAAGTCAGTTTGGTGGAATGGCTGCCGTTTTACAGGCTCCTAACCAACTGCGCTATTTTGTTAGTTTTTTCGCGTTGTTTGTAAATTATTTTTTAACTTATTGTGTATATAATGTTGCTGCTACCGTCTCTTATGACCAAAAATAACTTCTGGACAACAGAACAGCGATTACTCACCTCGAACTGGACAAAGATTTTTTATTTAATGAGTTTGATGAGAAGGATACTGCTTTTTCAGAAACGTGCCCAAATCCCTGTCATTTGCATGAAGAAAAGATGGAGAAAAAGGGGGCGGATGTCGGGCTGCCTTCTGAGAATTCGTTGGTGAGTGAGTAAACCTCCACTACCATCCGTTCTATTGGCCAACGTGCAATCATTGGAAAACTAAATGGATGATCTACGTTCAAGAATATCCTACCAACGTGACATTAAAAACTGTAATAACTTATGTTTCACCGAGTCGTGGCTGAACGGCGACACGGATAATATAGAGCTGGCGGGATTTTCCATGCATCGGCAGGACAGAGAAGCTACGTCTGGTAAGACGAGGGGCGGGGGTGTGTGTCTATTTCTCAATAACAGCTGGTGCGCAATGTCTTATATTAAAGAAGTCTCAAGGTATTGCTTGCCTTAGGTAGAGTACCTTATGATAAGCTGTAGACCACACCATCTACCAAGAGAGTTCTCATCTATATTATTCGTAGCCGTCTATTTACCACCACAAACCTGGTGCTAAGACCGCACTCAACGAGCTGTACAAGGCCATAAGTAAACAAGAAAATGTTCATCCAGAAGCGGCGCTCCTAGTGGCCGGGGACTTTAATGCAGGCAAACTTAAATCAGTTTTACCTCATTTCTACCATTTACATTTACATTTGAGTCATTTAGCAGACGCTCTTATCCAGAGCGACTTACAGGAGCAATTAGGGTTAAGTGCCTTGCTCAAGGGCACATCGACAGATTTTTCACCTAGTCGGCTCGGGGATTAGAACCAGCGACCTTTCAGTTACTGGCACAACGCTCTTAACCACTAAGCTACCTGCCGCCCCAGCATGTCACATGTGCAACCACAGGGAAAGAAATACCACCTTTACTCACACACAGAGACGCTTCCTCGCCCTCCATTTGGCAAATCTGACCATAATTCTATCCTCCTGATTCCTGCTTACAAGCAAAAACTAAAGCAGAAAGTACCAGTGACTCGCTCAATACGGAAGTGGTCAGATAACGCAGACGCTACACTACAGGACTGTTTTGCTAGCACAGACAGGAATATGTTCCGGGATTCATCCAATGGCATTGAGGAGTATACCACCTCAGCCATCAGCTTCATCAATAAGTGCATCGACGACGTCGTCCCCACTGTGACTGTACGTACATATCCCAACCAGAAGCCATGGATTACAGGCAACATCTGCATTGTGCTAAAGGCTAGAGCTGCCGCTTTCAAGGAGCGGGACACTAATCTGGAATCCCGCTAAGCCCTCAGACGAACGATCAAACAGGCAAAGCGTCAATACAGGATTAAGATTGAATCCTACTACACCGGCTCTGACGCTCGTCGGATGTGGAAGGGCTTGAAAACTATTACGGATTACAAAGGGAAACCCAGCCGCGAGCTGCCCAGTGAGGCAAGCCTACCAGAGGAGCTAAATGCATTTTATGCTCGCTTCAAGGCAAGCAACACTGAAGCATGCATGAGAGCACCAGCTGTTCCGGACGACTGTGTGATAACGCTCTCGGTAGCCGATGTGAGCAAGACCTTTAAACAGGTTAACATTCACAAAGCCGCGGGGCCAGACGGATTACCAGGACGTGTACTCAAAGCATGCACGGACCAACTGGCAAGTGTCTTCACTGACATTTTCAACCACTCCCTGACCGAGTCTGTAATACCTACATGTTTCAAACAGACCACCATAGTCCCTGTGCCCAAGAAAGCGAAGGTAACCTGTCTAAATGATTATCGCCCCGTAGCACTCATGTCGGTAGCCATGAAGTGCTTTGAAAGGCTGGTCAAGGCTCACATCAACAGCATCATCCTGGATACCCTAAACCCACTCCAATTCGCGGCAGGTAGCTTAGTGGTTAAGAGCGTTGTGCCAGTAACCGAAAGGTCGCTGGTTCTAATCCCCGAGCCGACTAGGTGAAAAATCTGTCGATGTGCCCTTGAGCAAGGCACTTAACCCTAATTGCTCCTGTAAGTCGCTCTGGATAAGAGCGTCTGCTAAATGACCAATTATTTTTATTTTTATACCGCCCCCAACAGATCCACAGATTACGCAATCTCAATCGCACTCCACACTGCCCTTTCCCATCTGGACAAAAGGAACACCTATGTGAGAATGCTGTTCATTGACTCCAGCTCAGCGTTCAACACCATAGTGCCCACAAAGCTCATCACTAAGCTAAGGACCCTGGGACTAAACACCTCCCTCTGCAACTGGATCCTGGACTTCCGCCCCCAGGTGGTAAGGGTAGGCAACAACACGTCTGCCACACTGATCCTCAACACTGGGGCCCCTCAGGGGTGTGTGCTTAGTCCCCTCCTCTACTCCCTGTTCACCTATGACTGCGTGGCCAAACACGACTCCAACACCATCATTAAGTTTGCTGACGACACAACAGTGATAGGCCTGATCACCGACAACGATGAGACAGCCTATAGGGAGGAGGTCAGAGACCTGGCAGTGTGGTGCCAGGACAACAACCTCTTCCTCAATGTGAGCAAGACAAAGGAGCTGATCTTGGACTACAGGGAAAGGCGGGACGAACAGGCCCCCATTAACATTGACGGGGCTGTAGTGGAGCGGGTCGAGAGTTTCAAGTTCCTTGGTGTCCACATCACCAACAAACTATCATGGTCGAAACACATCAAGACAGTCGTGAAGAGGGCACGACGACACCTTTTCCCCCTCAGGAGACTGAAAAGATTTGGCATGGGTCCCCAGACCGTCAAAAAGTTATACAGCTGCACCATCGAGAGCATCCTGACCGGTTGAATCACCGCCTGGTATGGCAACTGCTCGGCATCTGACCGTAAGGCGCTACAGAGGGTAGTGCGTACGGCCCAGTACATCACTGGGGCCAAGTTTCCTTCCATCCAGGACTTATATACTAGGCGGTGTCAGAGGAAGGCCCAAAAAATTGTCAAAGACTCCAGTCACCCAAGTCATAGACTGTTCTCTCTGCTACCGCACGGCAAGTGGTACCGGAGCGCCAAGTCTAGGACCAAAAGGCTCCTTAACAGCTTCTACCCCCAAGCCATAAGACTGCTGAACAATTAATCAAATGGCCACCCGGACTATTTACATTAACATATTTTCTTAACTCTTTCTGAACTGCATTATTGGTTAAGGGCTTGTAAGTAATCATTTCACGGTAAGGTCTACACCTGTTGTATTCGGCGCATGTGACAAATAAAGTTTGATTTGATTTGGTGGGAAAATGCGCATATTTTCTTTATGCAGATTTTAAGATTAAAATCTGTCGCCAATTGGATGGAAACCTAGCTTGTGTCACGTTTCTTTTGTCTTAGTATGCCTCTATTTCAGGAGAAAAAAAACTTTTCCTTGACAGAATAATTCTCCTCCTCTTTCACTGTGCATTTTCGGCAGTTCTTACTTTCGCCACTAGAGGGCAATCAACTGATGTCTGGGGGTCTGTACCACAATCTATGGTCTGTACTCCCAAAGTTGTTGACTGTTTTTGTGCTTGCTAGTTTTCTAGCAGTTCTCAGCTGATAGCAGCCAATGGCTAGCAGCTTCTTACTGGCGATAAAAATGGATGATTGCCATAATTTTTTTGAGTCATTACTGAATTATTTAATGTAACAAATCAAATATTAAACCTTGTAAATTAATTAATGGTAATTCAATGGTAACCTCGTAAACAATTCATTTAGACCCAGGCGTTTATTTTCTGTAATGTGTGCTGCTGCCCGGCTATTAAAAGGGACAGTTGGCTTTTTGAGACTGCATTTAAAATAAGTTTTACGGTACTTAATTGTTAGCCAGACATGATTTGATATTGAGATAAAAACAGCTGCATTGGACCTTTAACAAAGGTATTGCACAGCCTAAACATGGCATATTGTAACAAGGTATATTTGATTGATTCTGGCCTGTGAGTTTCAATTAGTATGTTCTGACAATACTGGTATTGGAGTCTGTTTGTTTCTGTACCTACAGTGTAGCCTTAGCGACAGAGCCAGTAGAGTATCTAACCTGAGGACTCTCTCTGTGTGGCTGGGAAGGCCTGTGTAGGGGTTGATGGTTCTCAGCTCCTTCAACCACTTGGTGTGGTTGTTGCCAGCTATGGTCCTGAAGTACAGCCTTCTCCAGTAGCCCTCTGGTCTCTCCTGAACCTTCATCACACTCAGCTTCTCCACCACCTGAATGGAGGAGCAGAAACATAATAGATTTGGTTCATAATGCTATATTAGTATATACAAGCATACAGTATTCACTTACATACCAAACACATACTAAATCATGAACCATTCACATACTCAATACATTGGGGGGGGGGGGGGGGGGGGGGGGGGGGAAACAACTGTGTATTATGTATGTGTATATACACTGTGTGTACAAAACATTAGGAACACCTGCTCTTTCCATGACATAGACTGATCAGGTGAATCCAGGTGAATGCTATGATCCCTTATTGATATCACTTGTTAAATCCACTTAAAATCAGTGTAGATGAAGAGGAGAAAGGTTAAAGAAAGATTGTTAAGCCTTGAGACAATTGAGACATGGATTGTGTATGTGTGCCATTCAGAGGGTGAGTGGGCAAGGCAAAATATTTCAGTGCCTTTGAACAGGGTATGGTAGTAGGTGACAGGCGCACCGGATTAAGTGTGTCAAGAACTGCCATGCTGCTGGGTTTTTCATGCTCAACAGTTTCCCGGGTGTATCAAGAATGGTCCACCACCCAAAGGACATCCAGCCAACTTGACACAACTGTGGGAAGCATTGGAGTCAACATGGGCCAGCATCCCTGTGGAATGCTTTCGACACATTTACATTTTATTCATTTAGCAGACGCTCTTATCCAGAGCGACTTACAGTTAGTGAGTGCATACATTACCTTGTAGAGTCCATCCCCCGACGAATTGAGGCTGTTCTAAGGGCAAAAGGGTGTGCAACTCAATATAAGAAAGGTGTTCCTAATGTTTTGTACACTCGGTGTAGACTGGGTATGTAAATATTTCATGTTGTACAGTACATATGTAGTGTGCAATATGTATGCTATGCATGTTTGTATCTGCTTCTTGTATTTGAATTCATACTGCTTTGCGAGCTTGCCCTCTACTTTGTCCCTAGTGGGATAATTAAAAGTGTTATTCAATTGAAATTATACTGAACCTCGTCCATGTGCTTGGCCTTCAACTTCTTACTCTCCCCATATTTTGCAGAGTACTTTTTACGCCACATTCCACTGCAACGAAATTAGACAACATATTCAGCTATTATGTGATTGAATAGGGTTGCTAGATAGTGGAGACGAGTCCTGCTGCCTCCGGATATAAAGTATCCTTACTTGTTTTTGGCCAGCTTATAGAAAAGCTTGCTGACGTAGCTAATGCAGTAGAGAGAAGAGGCATCCAGGTTCCACAGGATCTTCATTAGGATCTCAGGTGGCAGTCTAATAAAACACAAATTACAATAAGGCTGGGTCAAAAAAGGCATGAACTGGGCACTTGCTGGCTGTCTCCTTGCCTAATAAATCAGACTTTTATACCAATACTTGATATACAGTCTGAAACAGCAATGCAAAATTGTCAAAGTATTCCTTACAAGCCAGAATATTGAATAAAATTACATTTACATAATTTATTTGTCTGTGCGGTTTGTCCTTCAGCCGCTCAAAATTTGAGACAAAATATCCACAGGTTTAAATTTATATCACTTGGCACATGTGCAAAACCATGTAAACACCTGCAGACTTCGGTTACATGCATGCGTCGCTTGTATGTACTTCCGTCTTGTGCATGTGCATGTGCCTTTGGTCACGAGAAAACAAATCTTGATTACCACACACAGAGAGATGCGTTTTCATGTCGGGTTAATAACACTTTCCTGTGGATATTTTGTCAAAAAATGTTGACCAACACCACAGACAATCGGCAGAGTCAATTCAAATGAAGTTTATTGAACATTCTGACTTGTAAAGGGACTGTTTGGATTTTTTTTACGTAAATGTGAGTCAAACATAATTTGAATGCATCACCACGTTTCGTGCCTAGCTGTCTCCAAGTCCACACAGCCAAACACATGTACTCAGGATACTTACAGCTAACACATTAATACAAACACACAGAGACTGGTGCTTCTACATCTGCATCGCTTTCTGTTTGGGGTTTTAGGCTGGGTTTCTATATAGCACTTTGTGAAATCTGCTGATGTAAAATGGACTTTATAAATATATTTCATTGATTGATAGAAGATTTGTCAACTGTTTATGAACATCAGTTTGCAGAATGAAATAAAATACAGTATAAAATAAAGTTATTCTAATTTCAATTCTAACGGTGGGACTTGGAGACAGTAGCAACTTTGTCCTTTCTCTCTGCAGATTACAGAACAGGAAATGGACCACCCTTTTGTAGGAAACAGGTGGAGGTGCATTCTTGTCATACCTGCAACCAATCAGTGCACGCAAACAATTAATTCAAACGGACCAAAAAGCTCACACTTCCAAATCACATGATGATTACCGTAATGCACGAGGCACCTCCACTCTGCTACACATTAATTAAGTGTCGAAGTAGCTAGCTAGCTACTGTAATGAATGACGGAGAAGATGGCGGTAGAGGATGTGGAACTTGAATCAGATAGCGGTGTAAGTGAGGACGAATGGACTTTTGTCCATAAGAATGGTAAAAGACGCAAAATTGAAAGGGGAAAGGAAACGGCTAGTGTTGATAATACCCCCATCATATCTGGTACAAGTTAATTTTGGGGGAGTATTGGTGCCCGACTTGGTGAATCCGTTGAAAATATCAAAAATGTTGGAGAAAGCTTTGGGTAAAGTTAAGTCGGTGAAGATCACGAGAATTGGTCATGTTTAGATTTTTTTGTTGGGTCTCAGGCGAGTTGACGATTACGCTGTGTCGTGTTTTGAGCTACGGAGAAGGGCACCTGTCAAGGGAGTAATTACTGAAGAATATTCCTGGAGTGGTCAATGCATGTAGGATGAATCGTTTGGTTAATGGCAGGAAAGAGAAGAGTTTGTCTGTTCTACATGGAGTACTGTCTAGTGCAGTTCCACCCTGTCAGGCCTCAGAGTCTAAGGAGGGTATTTGAATTTTCAAATGACTGAAGGAGTGGGAATATAAATGTATATTATAATTTGTTTGGTTAATAATGTTAAGTAGTTTGTGTGGATTAATGTTATTTTTCCCTTCCCTGTGTCATGGAATTACTTTTATTTTGTTAATTTTTCACCCCCGTCCAGTTGAAGAAGTAGCTACTGTAACAGGTTTGACACAAATGCTGATAATTATTATATTGCATTCATAAACTAGGATTAGCTAAACTGTTACATCACCCAACCCTAAAGGGTTATCCTGGCATTTGGGTAGACTACCAGTACCTGTGTACAGTGGAGGCTGCTGAGGGGAGGCCGGCTCATAATAATGGATGGAACGGCGCAAATGGAATGGCACCAAACACATGGAAACCATTTGTTTGGTGTATTTGATAGCATTCCACCAATTCCGCTCCAGCCATTACCACGAGCCCGTCCTCCCCAATTAAGCTGCCACCAACCTCCTGTGTCTGCAACCCACTTACTGCTCTATGTGGTTCTGAGTGCAGCCAGCTGGCCTTGCAGCATGTCTAGTAGACCTTGGTAGCGGAGAGGTGAGTCTCTTTGTTGGTACCCTGCTTGGTACTGGATGGCTGGGTACAGTGGCCTTTTTCTGTGTCAGTGGCACTCGTTTTGCATTGTTGGTAGCCAAGCATCTAGAAAGACACAAATGTAAGACATTCAGCTAGCTAACTAACTAGCAAACTAGTCAACTAGTATCTAGCTAGCTTGACATTAGCTATATGCATAATGCACCACAAGTAGCTAGAAAGCAAACTGACAAAAAAAAGTCAACAAACGTGTTTCTCTGTAACTAGCTAACGCGTTAGCTAGCTACGTAAGTGAACTGTCATTAACTACAGTAGTAGCTAGCTATGGTAGTCTGAGCAGCCTTTGTTGACATTCGGTCCACGCTATACCCACCTTTGAGTGCTCGAGCCCGGGGATTTTATGGGCATGATTTTTCTCCTTTTAGGACGTCTGCACTTCTTTTCGCCTGTAGGTCCTCTACCCTCGGTTGGCGGTGTCTTCATCCAAACCCTCTCCAAAACTGCGGCGAAATTGTCTAGATACTTCCAGTAGCCATGGTTACAGATAGGCTGCATGCATAGAAATAGGAATTAGAATACTAGAATGGCTTAACCTTTTTATCAATGTCCAAATGTCAGCCATGTTGGTCAGGTAGATGGTCAACCATGGTTTGCTAGTGCCGTGATAAGATATTATGTAAAACAATGAATGTGAAGAATTTATCTAGCTAGCCAGACAGTTTTAGAGGAATGATTCCATACATTTTTCTAATTAACTGCTAATATGTCAACATTCCATTCAAACAATGCAGTCAATCCACAACCATACACTGGCTGAAATCAGTTGATGATAGGACAAGTTGTCAATGCAACAAGTACTGATATTATATCATATAAAAGGACTCACAGCTTTCCAAGAAAATAACATCTGAGACATGTATGGTCTGTTTCCATATATTTTAGAGGCTATTTGTACAGAACATTTGTATAAAACCTGTATAAACAGTATTTATAATTATATGACAATATTTTAGGTTGACTATAATTCCATTACATAATTTCTGATACCTCACATGCTTTACTTTTATTTTCCTGTATAAGTAAAAGCTGGAAATGCATCACCTATGTCTCTACTACCATTCGTTCCAATTAGACTGTTTTGGGATGTCTCCCTCACCAAGATGGCTTCCGTTTTTGCCCCATAATGGAACTTAGAGGGTTAATGAAAACCCCTCTAGTAATTTCATAGGATCTCTATGACTGCGTGTCTAAATTTTTGAAGACACTGCCTCCTAGGGGTTTGGCATTTCTTGACCTGCAGACAAAGGTGATTTAATTTTCTATTGTCAAAAGATGTAGCTATGGCTAGGGGGACTACTAGTTACATTTGTTGTAGGCCTGCTGATTATACAGTGAATTATGTTTTTGTGTGCCCATATTGGTGTTGTTAAAGGCTTATCTATAATATTGAATTAATTACAGAGAATAGCTACTTGGTTGCTGACTGTCAAGTGGTAAAGTGGGAGGCACACACATTCACACACACACTTCTGGGTTAACGTGAGATTGAGAGTTTGTGTGTTTTTAACAACCTGCAGCTGTCTCCCACTCAGCCAATTCACTGTAAGAGTACACACACAAAGGAAAGATCTGAAAGAGTGGTCAGGGAGGAGGGAGAGTGGGAGGGAGATGAGGAGAGGGATATAAACAACTGGTGGTGGGGGGCTAGGCCCTATTGGAAACAGTTAACTTTTTAACTGAAAGCAAAGCAACCTCCAGTGCAGGCCAGGGATGTGAATCTCTCTAGGTTAACAATACAGCACTCAGCAGGTAGGCTAGGTGTCAAAGGTCAAACTACTGCAGAAGAACCTGGGAAATGAATCTTATTTGGCTCCATGTGGGGTTCAGGAGGGCGACGCAACACAATGAAATGTTATCTCTTTTTCTTCTGTTTTTCTTTTGCGGATGCTTTTGGAATCACAGGTTTAAATGGAACCTCCTTGGCCTCGTTGGACACGCGCGCTCACACACACACACACACACACACACACACACACACACACATATACAGCTCTTGAAAAAATTAAGAGACCACTGCACATTTTTCTTAAATCAGCATCTCTACATGTATGACAGCCATTCCATTCCAGTGTCTGTTGAATTCCAACACAGGCACACCTCATTCTACTGAATTAGGTACTGATTAGGTGATCACCTGAACCAAATCTTATTTAACGAGGAAAAGTATAAAAACCACTGCTGTGGTCATCACTATCCTCTTGCAATAGGACCAGCTGGATGGCAAAAACAGTGCTAATAGTACCTCAAAAGTAATATTAATCAAAAGGTAACTATTGACCATGCCAAAAGAGTTGAGAAGGAAAGTTTTGAGTGAGGAAAAGAAGGGTTCAATTCTGGCTTTACTGGCAGAGGGATACAGTGAGCTTCAGGTTGCTTCCATCCTTAAAATTTCGAAGATGGCGGTTCATAAGAACAAGGTCAAGCAGCAGACATTGGGGACAACAAAGCTACAGACCGGCAGAGGGCGAAAACGACTCTCTAATGACCAGGATGACCGCCAACTCATTCGAATGTCACTCAACAACCGTAGGATGACATCAACTGACCTACAAAAAGAATGGCAAACGGCAGCTGGGGTGAAGTGCACGGCGAGGACGGTTCGAAACAGGCTCCTAGGGGCAGGGCTGAAGTCGTGCAAAGCTAGAAAAAAGCCCTTCATCAATGAGAAGCAAAGAAAAGCCAGGCTGAGGTTTGCAAAAGACCATAAGGATTGGACCGTAGAGGACTGGAGTAAGGTCATCTTCTCTGATGAGTCCAATTTTCGGCTTTGCCCAACACCTGGTCGTCTAATGGTTAGACAGAGACCTGGAGAGTCCTACAAGCCACAGTGTCTCGCACCCACTGTGAAATCTGGTGGAGGATCGGTGATGATCTGGGGGTGCTTCAGCAAGGCTGGAATCGGGCAGATTTGTCTTTGTGAAGGACGCATGAATCAAGCCACGTACAAGGTTGTCCTGGAAGAAAACTTGCTTCCTTTTGCTCTGACATTGTTCCCCAACTCTGAGGATAGTTTTTTCCAGCAGGACAATGCGCCATGCCACACAGCCAGGTCAATCAAGGTGTGGATGGAGGACCACCAGATCAAGACCCTGTCATGGCCAGCCCAGTCTCCAGACCTGAACCCCATTGAAAACTTCTGGAATGTGATCAAGAGAAAGATGGATGGTCACAAGCCATCAAACAAAGCCGAGCTGCTTGAATTTTAGCGCCAGGAGTGGCATAAAGTCACCCAACATCAATGTGAAAGACTGGTGGAGAGCATGCCAAGACGCATGAAAGCTGTGATTGAATATCAGGGTTATTCCACCAAATGTTAAAACATTAGTGTTGTTTAAAAATGAACATGAACTTATTTTCTTTGCATTATTCGAGGTCTGACAACACTGCATATTTTTTGTTATTTTGACCAGTTGTCATTTTCTGCAAGTAAATTCTCAAATTGACAATATAGGGGCGGCAGGTAGCTTAGTGGGTAAGAGCGTTGTGCCAGTAACCGAAAGGTCGCTGGTTCTAATCCCCGAGCCGACTAGGTGAATAATCTGTCGATGTGCCCTTAAGCAAGGCACTTAACCCTAATTGCTCATGTAAGTCGCTCTGGATAAGAGCGTCTGCTAAATGACTAAAACATAAATAAAAAATTATTTGGGAGAAATGTTGTCAGTAGTTTATAGAATAAAACAAAAATGTTAATTTCACCCAAACACATACCTATAAATAGTAAAACCAGAGAAACTTATATTTTTGCAGTGGTCTCTTAATTTTTTCCAAAGCTATATATGCTTTGTTCTCTCTAATGGTATTTGGCCTCTCTGGAGGATATAGTAGTGAGGGACTCTGTAGAGTGTTAGGTATAGTTCCTTATGCTCTGATCTACAGACAAGTATATATCCAAATAGAGCCAAGGTAACTGGAGGAATGATCAAATGAACATCCATTCTTCTTTGCCACAGCAGCACTCATCATAACTATCACAACCCTGATTGCTTAATCAAAGCCTATCTCATCACATCATGGCAAATCAAACACTCCACCAGGGGAAATCCCACCACCACCATGGTTCCTAATCTTTCTATATTTACCAAGCCGACTGCGTTCTAAATGACGCCCATAGATAAACAATGGCAGCCAGCCGCCAGCAGCAGAACTGACTGACTGATGCTAAGTCTCTTTTCATTAGAGCAGATGTCTGTGCTCTTAGACAGACACGCCAACACACGGTGAAGGGTCGAGATCCCCCTAGTCCGGGGAGCTGGTCTGCTCTGCTAGCTGTCACTGCAGATAGCTGTAACATCCTCCCTACTGCCAGTCCCTTCGCCTCATTACAGAGCCTTGGTCCATGGCGGGCCCCTCTCAGGACAGACGCAGCCTCTGGTAATGGTAATACATGGCCCCGTGCCCCCCCCCCCCCATTCCCCCATGCCTCTGCTTGACATTTGATGTCTGTTGCTCTAGCTTGGTGTCCTTCTGCAGGCCTGCGGGTCGGTCTTAGCTCTGGGGTGTCTGATGTCTTGCTCCTGCATGGGTTGTCACTCAGCACTGACACTGTGATGTTTGTCAAATGGTGGAATGGGCGAAGGCAGGGAAGGAGGGGGAGGCAGAAAGAGAAATGGGGAGGGGAGTAGAGACACGTGTGAGATGTGTAGAGGAGTGTGACCATGTCCTATGACAGATGATGTGCAATGTTTTTGATTACGAGCAAGGCAAGTGGGTACTACTGCAAGGCAAGTGGGTCACTAGATGATGTGACATGGATAACTGGTGGATGTTCATACATTATTCAAAATGTTATATGATTTCATTACAGATGGGTGGATCAGGGTGGATGGATGCACAGATTAATTTAAATGAATGAATGAATAAATAAATGGATGAAAATATTAATAGATGCCAGTGCCGTATGGATGGATGGATAGATAGATAGACAGATAGGTAGACAGATGAAATTCCAACACAACCTCTGGTCAGAATATTCTGTTTTAATTGCATTTAAAATATGGATGACATACCTAACAGATCCTTAATGATACACCTACTCCCCCCCCCCCCCCCCCCCCCCCTCCTCTGGGATAATCAGTGGAGTCAAACGTATCATGGTATATGAATCTGAACTCCTTGCATAATATGGCCAATTAGCAAAGCTTAGAGCGAGTGGAGTGACAGCTCATTACGAAGTGTAAGTGAAGGTTCAGCAGTTCTGAGAAGGAACTCTCAGATTCATCAGGGACAAGGAACCATGAAAGGGACCCTTGCACAGAGGTCTTCAAAGGTATTATGACATGTTTGGGCAGGGCTGGGCAGAGAGGGTAGGAGTGGGCAATGGTGAGGTGTACAGGATGTATACTAATACATTGTATATAGGGTCCAGAGTTTTTCCTGGTCCAGTCACGTGGTTAGGATCTGGGTGGGAAAACCCTTGGCCCTTGGAGTGGGGGATTCCATGTATGAATTGTTTTAAGCCTAATTAATCAACTGAAATCACACATGTTGCTGTACCACACATTTTTTTATGCAAGACACATAACTGGAACTGAATCCTGACCTCTCAGCCCTCCAGCTAATATCATCAATAATATCAGATATGCATAATATCAATATTCATAGATAGCGTAACTATTAATGAAATGGAAGGTTGCAAAGGAATAACTTACTGTAATTCCCCCAATGTTATACTCCCACTGCTTTAACTAATGACACAACCAAGTGGCAATGAAAGACTGCAAGTGGCTGTTCACTTTAACCTAATAATTTAGCCTCAGAAACACAAGCATTGTTAATAGAAAACAACAGGATAGCATGGTAGTTGTCCTCATTAGTCAAACATAAGTTCACCATGCACCTCTGGTGAGAAAACATAAACAGCTGACAGTACCGCCTTCATACCGCTGGGTGTCGCACAAGTATCTATGTGGCTCCTGTAAAACTGGCAGTTTTGAGCTCAAATTAGTGACATACATACCCAATTATAGGAACAGCGCAAAAAGCAATGATATCCGCTGTTCTGCCCCTTGCATCTCTGATTAGGCGCGGGACAAGACAAGGGGGAAAGGCGGGGTATAAATTGCGGGTGCAGATTGGGAGGCAGCAATGAACTCCGCTGTCCCGCGAGGGCCACTGATGTAAAATCTCACAACATTCAACTGCTTATGTAAACAAACTCATTAATCCATACGTGTGCTTATTCTACTGTAGTAGCCTACTAGTGAGTGAGGTGCCCTTATACGCGGTGTCTACGACATTACTACTGTACTTGAATATAAAGGATGGGCGTGAGTCGCCTTTGAAATTGAAGCAAGGATGCGAGCCCACCGCTCAGTTCACTCTGCGCGCTGCTTCCTATGCGGAATGAGAGACTGACTCCACGCTATGGATAGGCCTACTACAGGTACCGTACAGGCGTCTTTTCGGGAACACAGATGTATGGTGTTTGGATAGTGCAAAAGAGTAGGCTAGTATAAGAGTGGCCAAATTAAACTTGAAAGGAAGAAAAATTAAATCACCCCCATTGACCTTAAATCATTGATCACATTGATTGCTTTTAGGATTTCCAAATTGCATGAGTATTTAATAACGTTCATTTAATAATGGGAGGTGATACATCTCATATTTACTCATTTGAATGCTATAGCCTAAATGAAATGGCCTACATTTGACGCACTTACTGTATAGGCTACCTTCGAATTCCGTGCGAATTACGCACGGTTTTTTTTGTAGTTCTATGGATCCCAATGAATCCTTTTTAACACTCAGTTTAGTATCTCTTAAACACTTAATAGTATGTCATAAATCAGTTGTTATTTGTTTCTTAAATCACCAGGAAACACCACCACACCATATGTTTGAAGACCAGCCTAATATCAACTGAGACGCACAGGAGGAAGGGGAGTGTGAGAAAGAGAGAGCGTGTGTGTCAAAGTGTGTGTGTTAGAGAGAGAGCGAGAGAGAAGGGGAAAGCGCGAGAGAAGAGGAGTAAGGTTGGACTAGGTGATCGCGTCCTATCAAACCTCCAAGGAGCTGCCGTGTAGAATCAGTGTGCACAGGAAGGATCAGAGTTCCGACCAGACCATGGTGGTGCCAGCCCGCTGCCCGGGCCCCTGTGCCATGCTGGCGCTCAGCCTCTTCATGGGATACGGAGTGGTGCTCTGCGTCGCCGGCCAGAATGACACGGAACCCATCGTTCTGGAGGGGAAATGTCTGGTGGTCTGTGACTCCAACCCGTCCTCGGACGGCGGGGTGACTTCTTCGCTCGGGATATCCGTCCGTTCGGCGGGCGCCAAGGTGGCTTTCTCTGCGGTGCGCGGGACGAATCACGAGCCCTCCGATATGAGCAACACGTCTATGACCATCTACTTTGACCAGGTCAGGCGTCCCGGGAATTTGCGCATGCAAATATTGTCCCTATCTGGATAGATAATTCATTTGGGGATTGATAAGATGTTTAATATATATTTTTTCTGAAGCGGCATACAGCATAATTTGTTCATGCAAATGGTTTATGATAACTTGACCTGGGTTGTGTTTATGCGTTTGGAGATTTCTTTCTCTCAAAAACTTGAGAGCAGTTTTGGGGAGCCTCTGCAAGAAAATGTTGCAGTATGATAACGGGGACATTTTGATCGTTGTGCGTAATTACCCCAAATATGCATAAAAGCTGCAGCTTGATGCAAATGTTGTGATTTGAAAATATGTAGGTTATTGTATATATAGTCTGGCTTGTGTAGGTTTAAGGGACGCGCAAGCACTGCGGCGCAACAATAGATGTGACTACTGCTGTAAATTCTCCAACCATCAAGTGGAGTATTTTTACGCCCAGCTGGTGCGCTGGAGCATTATGGATAGTATTATATTAATTCATTGCACCCCCCCCCCCCCCCCCCCCCCCCCCCCCTCCAACAAAACCAACGTGTATTTATTGAAATCAATGATTCGACTACTACGTTTATCGACTTCAACTATAAACATTTATTGTCCAATTGGAAAACCGCAAGTGACAGGCGAGCAGCATTGGATAATGTGCGTCGCGCCTTCACAGGACCACTCTATTACGCAGTGTGAAAGTGCTTGGTAATCTGGCTAGTTTAACCCTTGCCGTGTCTCAGTCTGTGATATGGTGACTCTGGGTGCTGATTGTGCGTTATCTTGTCGCTTTGTGTTGCAGGCTTTAGTGAACATCGGCAACCATTTCGATCTCAAAGCGAGTGTCTTCCAGGCGCCAAGGAGGGGAATATACAGCTTCGGCTTTCATGTGGTCAAGGTTTACAACAGACAAACCATACAGGTAAGACCAATGGTCAACATTTGCTTTACTATGATCGCTATTCAACGTTTTCTGATGGTAGGCCTAGTTGGGCTATAATGTATTGTTGTAGGCTATGCCACGGAGCAGCCTACCCAAATGGGCACATTATTGGTCCGTAATTAGAGTAGGCCAACCGTACGATGTAACAGGTCTGAAATCTATGCGTGCTGTTTCCGTTACACCAGGTCAACCTGATGCAGAACGACTACCCGGTCATATCAGCTTTCGCCGGTGACCAGGACGTTACACGGGAGGCCGCGAGCAACGGCGTTCTTCTGCAACTGGAGCGCGAGGACCGGGTGTATCTGAAGCTGGAACGGGGCACGCTCATGGGCGGATGGAAATATTCCACTTTCTCAGGCTTCCTAGTCTTTCCACTATAATTTAATATGCGATCACGGAAATCGCAAACGTGACTCCTCCACGGTTGAGGAACGATAAAGACAAACATTTGCTATTTTATTTGAACTAAACTGTCAGACGAGGAAGAAGACAACAGACATATGTGTACACACACACTATACAGTATATATTTAATTCAAACATGAACGTTTCTTTGGAGTTCATACATTCAAATCCATCGACCAAACCCAATCTGGAAGGATAACCGAATCGATCGCTCCGTGATGTATAGGCTACCACTTGTCGATTATTTGGATTTTATCACTTGGGAATCAATTAACTTTTGTCAACAGACAGACGAGTCAGTGTACCTCTGTGTACCCGGACTACTGAACAGATGAGAATAACGTTATATGAATCGAAGAACTAAAAGTCCCGAACTAGCCTACATGTATTTTCCAATCCTCTATTTTGTGTTTGTATAGCCTATGGCATAGAACTAGGGTTTCCGTCAAGTGAGGTGTATGGAATTATAACGGACGTCCAAGAGAAGAGTGCTTTCACGCCCAAAGCATTTTTTGCACGAATGGAAGATTTGTTTTGTTTTGTTTTGTGCTGTCTATGGTGTTCCGTTTTGGATGCTGAACATATTGAAAACAAGCCAAATGTAGGCTGCCTAACTATCCAGAGATGACATTAAAAGAGAAAAAAAGGCAACATATTTCAGCCAATGGAGACATCTATAGAAACTCTTTTACAAAAAACATTTATCGAATTTATAAAGTACATATTCACATTATGGTGTGTTCTACTCTACATTTCGGATCTGCGTAGCTTTGACTGATTTAGTGTCCAGTGACGTTGCTCACAAATGTACATTGTGAAAATAACAACAGAAAAAAATCCCTATATATGATGTCCCGCCTAATAAAAAATATTGTATTGTATACGCGTATCTATTCACTTTTATTCTATACTATTTTGGGCTTGCAAAAAAAAAAAAAAAGCTCGAAAAGACATCAGGTCTGAAGTAAGTTAAGAAATTAACGTTCAAAGTCGAAGTAATCGTGACAGAATAGGCCACTAATAAAGTACTGTACAGCGAACGTCCTTCTCGGACCTGTAGCGCACTACAGATTGGCGCTGTACATGGTTTTCATCTAGCAGCGGCTTGAACTGAATGCAATGCTACGCGCGTCACCGTACACTGAAGCCCACACCAAACCCCATTCAACTCTCGTTGTTGAAAATAGTAAGCAGATTGCTATCAACTTTTCATGTTTCTTTATTCTAAGATCAAAGCAGAGATATAACAAGACAATACAATACCATATTGACATTGTCAAGACCGCTCTATTTTGATGTGAGTAGTGATAGTTATTCACTCATTGTAATTATCTTAGCCAAATAATTATGCAATGCAGAGACAATGCGATAATGTTTTGGGCCTGCTGTAGAAAAACAACTCTCCAGCACTCACACACAAACAAACAAACACACACACACACACACACACACACACACACACACACACACACACACACACACACACACACACACACATACACAGATCAAAGTTGTTTTTCAGTTACGATGTACACGGATACATTGCTATTACATCTTCACAACTGAACAATCAATAGTACATCAATGAAGCCTACTCTATCTCTAGAGCTTTGATTTAATCACAATACTGCATGGATATGGGAGCATCACAAAAAGTTCAAATATGCCATATGCAAAACGATGCTATCAAAGATGCACCCCAAACAAGTCCACATAATTACAATTTCATTGTGGTACATAGAAACCAAGGAAACCACTATCTTATCATGTAAAACTGAAAGTGGGGAAAAAAAGTATTTAGTCAGCCACCAATTGTGCAAGTTCTCCAACTTAAAAAGATGAGAGAGGCCTGTAATTTTCATCATAGGTACACGTCAACTATGACAGACAAAATGAGATTTTTTTTCTCCAGAAAATCACATTGTAGGATTTTTAATGAATTTATTTGCAAATTATGGTGGAAAATAAGTATTTGGTCACCTACAAACAAGCAAGATTTCTGGCTCTCACAGACCTGTAACTTCTTCTTTAAGAGGCTCCTCTGTCCTCCACTCGTTACCTGTATTAATGGCACCTGTTTGAACTTGTTATCAGTATAAAAGACACCTGTCCACAACCTCAAACAGTCACACTCCAAACTCCACTATGGCCAAGACACAATTGGTGGCTGACTAAAAACGTTTTTTCCCCACTGTAAATGTCTGGTCTATTTCCAGTGTGTGTGTGTGTGTGTGTGTGTGTGTGTGTGTGTGTGTGGTAGCAAGTATATTAATAGATGCGATACCAAATGGTGCCTAGATGCTGTATATAGGCCTATACCATGCAGGTCTGATTGGCATTCGTTCTTTGATCTAGGTTAAAGGGGAACAAACTAAAACAAACATTGATATGGATTGAAGATAGTGGCCATGAATGAAACAGATAGTAGAACAAAGGGAATTGGTGTGGTTTAGTTATAGTGTAGCCTAATAAGAAAATAAGGGAGATGGTAAGTACACCTACACTTGTCATGCCATGTGGAGTGTAGTTTTCAGCAAGGCAAGGCTGGGATGTGGATCAATGGAATACTTTAGTTTGACCTTTGCATTGGAGCCTAGGTCTCTGTCTGATTTAGAGACCAAACCCGCTTATTTGACTGTTGCTACAAGATAATAAACAGCTCATGGGTTGTTTTGAATTGTCATAACATTAGTATAAACTGTAGATTGTGATGCTTTATCTGATCTCATACATTTAAATTGAGAACAATGAAACACCATTTTCATAATGATGCAGGTGTGCACTGCAAGCAGTCATGACAACAGCAAGATGGCTGACTTTAGTGGTTGGATAAATGTGATTGGATAGGCTCTGCTCAAAAGAATGCTGAAATGTTCTTATGCAGATAATTTTTTGACTTGCCAATATAATATGTATTGAAGTTGATTAGCTCACCAGGATCTCCTAACTACGGTTACTTTATATTCAGCTATCAACAATGGCACAAAATACTGAGATTGTATAGTCTATTATACAGAAAATCTTATAAAATGTAATGTCCAAAAAATCCAAGATGGCAGCAGGATTGGCCTTGACAGTGGAACCCAGCTGGCAACTGCCTAGGGGATCAGTGTCTTAACTAGTTCGATCCAGTTTTTATATTCAACATGCCACACACTAGGCAGGTTTCCATTGGCCCAGATTTATTAGACAAAAGCAATGTCGAAAAAAAAAATGTGACATAGGAGAAATGTTCTAAAGATCGACAACGTTTTCATCTGTTCTACGGGGGTGGATTTTTATTTTGTCAAACTTTCTTTATTGCAACAAATGATGATGGAAACAGTGTTTTTCGAATAAATGATGATTGCCTAATTATTTTGAAGGTACGCAGGGAACTTGATGTCATTAAGTAACTATAAAACTCCACTCAACATTTAATTCTAAATGCTTACTGCTTTCTAAATCTATTTTTCAACCATAACAAATAATATTTATTTGCAGGACAAGGATTGTCTTGACTTTCAAGCCTTGTTTTTCTGGTTAGCTGGATGCAAGTTTCACCATCCAATTATTTCAGATCTACAGGAGTGCAAGTTTCACCATTGCACGGACTGTGGCAGTTATTATCATTATTAGAGTATGGCAAATATTAGTACTTTCTTGCATTCTATCCATGCTGGCTTTTGTGGGCTACCTGAGACATGAAACAGGTGGGAGGGCATACAGGCTGTGACCAATTTATTAATGCGCAATTTGCCTACATGCATAATAATAATAACACTTCAACCACTTCATTTTTATTCCACACTCTAGATTATAGTAAAACAAATATTTATTTTAGGTGTGATGTCATTACGTCCAGCTGTTTTTATCGACACAAGACAGTTCAATGGAAACGCAATGGACAAGTTCATGGAAACGTAGCTAGTGTGTGAAGGCAACAGGCACTTTGAATAAGCTAATACTACCTACACATCTGTGTGGATATCGGCATCCATTGGTTTCTACTAATTACCAAAGCCACAATGTCAACATTGGCTATATTGTAAGAATTCATGAAAACAAAAACAAGCATTTTGGTCTTAATTGACAGTTAAGGTTAAGCATAAGGTTAGCAGTGTGGTTAAGGTTATGGTTAAGGTTAGGGTTAGGTTTAAAATCACATTTTAAGAAGATACATTTTAGAAATAGGCGGGTTTATGACTTTATGGCTGTGGTAACTAGTTACGACCACATCCGTTTTGCGGAAACGAGACCTAAATCTTCTAATGGGACTCCAACAACTGAGAGGCCTGCTGTTACTTCGACAGATGCCAGGCCAGGGATGAAGTAGCATGAAGTAAAATGGCTCTGGCAACCAACCTACCACTCACCACTTCACTCTCAACAACTTATTTGGACAGCATTTTAAAAAGCTCTATGAATTTGTGATTAAGCCCATACTGACTCAAACAGTCTATTTTCAGACCATTTATTTTCGTAAGTATGGCTGTATCTCATTCTCTTATCTCTTCATGGCTTGATTACTCAGAAATGATTCTACATTGTTGGTGGTCAAATTATCTCAATCCGTAGAGGCAGACACAAAGATATAAAACTAGAACTAGGGTTTGTGTACCCTTACGAAAAAAGATTGCCGTCAGAGTGCAGTAAAACTGCAGTACACTGCAGTAATTTTGCATTGTAACTGCAGTTCAACAGCAGTACACTGCAGTTATTCTGCAATTACTGCATCCAAAATACCAGAGTCGGCTGTAGTTACTGCACAATATTTTCCCAATTTGTAGAAGAAAATTGACAACAGGAAGCTGATGCTAGCACATGATCAATCCTAAACACTGTTTGCCACGACAGGCGCTAGATGAGTATATTTGATGTTACCACCATATAGCATTGAGGAACGTTAGCCACCTAGCTGATGTGTACATCTTTATGCCCTTATGGGTGTGAACCATGGTTAAAGTAGCCTATTGGGTGTTTGCAACAGATATCA